TGTGACTCTTTTGTCCTTCATTTTCTTTCAAATTTTCAAAATATCTAATCCAAAGTAAATGAACAAAAGTACTTTGGTAGAAGTGATTTTATAAAAGTACTTTGATAAAAATACTTTCATAAAAGTACTTTTACATACTTTTTGTAAAAGTACTTTTATGAAAGTGCTTTTATACAAATACATTTGTAAAAGTACTTTTATGAAAGTTCTTTTATACAAATACATTTGTAAAAGTGTTTCTATAAAAGTGCTTTCATAAAATTACTTTATAAAAGTATTTCGTAAAAGTACTTTCGTAAATGTGCTTTTATAAGAGCACTTTTTACTTTTATGAAAGTGCTTTCAAAAAAGTACTTTCGTAAAAATACTTTGCTTTTATAAAAGTGCTTTCGTAAAAGTACTTTACTTTTGAAAAAGTACTTTTATAAAATTACTTTTACAAAGTGCTTTTGTAAAATTACTTTCGTAAAAGGGTATAATTAGTATTCTAAAAATTTATTGGATACAAATCTAAAAGAAAAGATTTGAATAAGTGCTTATTATATGAGCACTTAAAAAACGCTAGAAATTTGGGCTTAGAAAATAAGCCCTTATTTTTAAAATAAGCACTAATTTCAAGCTTGGGTTAATGGACTGGGTTTGGGTTGCACCCTATTCGACTCAAAATCAATTTGAATAGATTGGACAAACCAATAAGACATATTGAATTGGACCAGTCTAGACTTAATTGTCCAAAGTACTTATTAGATTGGATTGGACTTGGTACATTTGTAATGAAGGGTCAAATTGAACCAATATTTAGTCCATAAACATAAGATAAAAGTATGGGTGTTAGCGGACTAGGTTTGGATTGGACCCAATCTATATTAAAACCAATTTGAACAGTTTGGACCATTCAAGCATTAAACTGGACCTGTCAAGAATGGTCCAAAGTATTCATTGTGTTGGACTGGACCTGGTCCATCAATACTAGGTTGGGACCGGATCAGATCGGACCAATATCTAATCCATTGACAACCCTAAATATACAACATCAATTTGATGAAATTATTAAACATTTTGCACTTCTTTGGAAGCTCCAAGTTTCTTTCTTTTTTTGTGTAATTGCCTATCCAGCAAAATAATTCTCTTTTTAATTAGTTTTAAATAGGTTTTAATTGCCTTTTTTTAATTTCCTTTTATATTTTTTCTATGTAACTTCAGGTTTCTTTTTTTTTTCCTTTTATATTTTATATTTTGTGTTACTGATGAGGGACCTACACGGTTTTTGTTGGTGTGGGTCTTGCATGTTTCCACTATATATCTACTAATGGGTATTGTATGTATATCTTTATTATTATTTTGGTTAATGGAAAAAAATTAATAAAAATTAGATTTGGAACCAAATACATTCAAACTTTATTTTCATTTTTGCCACAAAAAAGAATTCATTTTTTTTTGGAAAAAGGTATTTAATTAATAACAATATTTTTTCATTTTACCCATCTTTACCTATTTTTATCTTTTCTAAAATTTTATTATTAAAAAGAATGAACAAAAATGAGAGTTGAACCAAACATGGATGCTTTTTATAGCATTTCTTTAACTTTATGTTATGTTGATTTTATCTATAACCACTATAATTGTATTAGAAACTTGTGCGGAAATTATTTTGATGGCAAGAAGATGGCAAAGTCAGCGTGTGTATTAAAAAATAATAAACAGTCTAAGTGCTCATTTTGGAGGGCTGAGCTGAATGTTCAGCTAAACTGGCTGAGCTAAAGTAAGCTGCTTTAAGGTACACTTAAATCTCCTACGCATAAGGACTCTTCCCACACTTACCCATAAAATACTACTACAACCTTACATCAAAAACATCTCTCCATGAATGACAACACATAAGTAATCAGACTGATTGCACATCTCGCCCTATTTGATGAATTAATTCCAAATAAATTTGATATGGCTAATTACTTATATACACCTTAAACTTTGAAAAACTGTTTATATATACCTTTTAAGATGGCCTTACATGACAAAAACAGGCCCTCCCTTAATTAAAAGATTAGGGTCATTTGTAGCTATTGTTAAATTAATTTTATATTTTTGGGATAATAGACTGTATTCTCCCTCAGAAATTTGAAATTACAGTCACCTCCTAATCTACTAGTAGCCCCCTTATAAGCTAATTCACGGTCAGGATTCATTCCACCAATAGGGTGGAACTAAGATTTCTAGGGGTGGACTGAACACTTAAAACTCCAAATCTTTTTTTTTTTTTTTGTAATCCCGAATTTACTCTTCCATTTTGAGAAGGTTGATGATCTTCTTCAAACTTCTTAATCTTAACTGAAACCCTAGAAGACCGATCTTTTCTATTCTATTATACTTTTCAAGCATGTTTGAGAATGGAGGGGTGTAATGGTGTGAACTATGGATCAGATCAAACAAACCGAAAGTTCAAAACAGAGAAACAGCTATGAGGTTAAATGGATGGAAGAAGGATTATGTTTGAGAGTGAGGCAATGGATACTAAGGTCCCGTTCACATTTCGGTAAGTTACTTGGGTAAATGCACTCACCCATGTAATTGTTTCCTAGGAAAAATTTACCTGAGTAAGTGCATTTACCCATGTTCTTTTATTTTTCATGTAAATAAGGCAATGACCATTTTATTCATAAAAATCTATCATTACAAGGGGTGCTTTTGTCTCTTTCAAGTATTGGCAACTGATGAGGGCAGATTTGGCCCTCCAGTGAAATTGTGACACCTGGCACCTCATGCCAACTAAGTGTAGCCTCTTGACAACTAGGCAGCTCGCCACTAAGCAGCTCGAGCTCGCCACAGGCAGTTCGCCATAGGCAGCTTGCCACATGCAGCCAGCCACAGGCAGCTCGCCATAGGCAGCTCACCCTTAGCCTGGCAACTTAGACAGCTTGGCATTGCATAGGCAGCTCGCCACTAAGCAGTTCATCCCCAAGTATCGCAGGAAGATCTCCTGCCTGACAACCTGGCCCAGACACCGACCCGCCGACTGACACAGG